GGGAATTTGTTTCAGTTTGTAAAATCTGTATGCAAGTCTAATTTTGACCAGCAGCAACTTCAGTGAGTAGGCTGGTGCAAAATTTTCACATGATTTGTACCGGAGGAATATATACTTCCATATCTATAGAAACACCCACAGAAATTCTTTTAGAGAATCACAATAGTCAGTATGTGAGATCTCACTGCTCTAGAGGCCTTCTGCTCTGATGATGGATGAATCAGACTCTATATACCGTGGACAATGAGAATCAAGTGCTTCACTTTTATATGCATGCCTTATTTCAAAATGTAAAGGTCATCTAATACACGTTAAGTGAACTGTGCAATGGAGGAGACTCTCAAAGGCCAGAGACTAAAGGCAATAAAAGGACGGAATGGTAGGTCAACCTCAGAAGATGTTCCTGTGGCATACAGAAATTGGATGAAGTTCCTTATTGACAGCAAAAAGACAGCAGTAGGCAGCTAATGTCTGACGCTTGCTAACAGTGAATTTCAATGGAGACAGAGGAGGAAGCCAACACAGAAAAGGGCAGTGACTTGCCCAGAGTCAGATCTGGAACGTGGGGTGCCCGAGTTGTCATCTATTATACCATGTTCTTCACTAACCTGCCACCTCTCATTTCCATCAACGTGACTAAAAACTCCCAGGCTGTTGCATTACCGGATGAGGCTGCGCAAGCAGCAAATTCACCCAGTTTTGTGAGACTGTGAGCGGCTAATATAATCCTTAACTGTATTCCGACATTCAGTGGTTCTTTACACCATGACTTCAGAGAGAAAGTGAAGTCAAGTAAGCCTTAGCCTACGAGGGGCGGAGGGAGAGGGTACCTTTCGGTGCCTAATGAGCCTTGCGTGCCGAGGTCTCCCACAGCACAGCAGTTCCTGGCATCAAGCAATTTAGGAGATGAGGTCAGAGCGAAGCGGAGTCAGGGTGAAAAGAAGAGCAGCATGAAAGCCTGGTGCAGCAGAGCAAGTAGCGAAAGGCAGCGAACAAAGGGAGCAACACACAAGCCGGTCCTTCCGAGGATGCTGTGGGAGAGGCAGAAAAGACAAAGGAAGGGGTTATGGGTGTAGCAGGCAATGAATAGATTCTGCCAAGGAAAAAAAGTGGGTTTCTGGGCCTGGTTTTAACTGCATTAGCCAGTCGTGTTGATATAACCTTCTCAAAGAAGCACACAGGGGCACTAAACAATAATTAAGGCACTACATTCCCAGAGTCCTCTTTTGTTTTATGCTACGGGTAATCTTGAAACTAAGGGGACAAGGGAATGCAGCACAATGAGCTCCATGAGGGCATGGAGCTGACAGACTGTTTAAATGTAATGGTGTCTCAGCTCTCAGAGGAGGAGAGGATCTCCAATTTCAGGCCTCTGAAGTGCTAAATTACCACATGAAAACTACAGCAAGTTCCACCAAAACTGCAGCCGTCAATACTACAGATTGTTTTTAACAAACAAAAGTTGACAGAATAAAGGATGGGGGTTGAAGGATGTCTGCACTGTATGCCAAGGTTTTTCTAAAAATATTTTACACCTGCTATTTGTTCCGCACACTGATCATATTTTGTCTATGAGGTAGAGAACTCGTAGTGCCAAAGGGAATGTGGTTTATGTTCCCGAGTCTTAATGCTTTTTCCCTTCTGTAAGGCAAAACTCCTTACTACCATCACTAAAATAAAGCCAAGAGGACAAAAGTCATACGCACACTGCCACAGTAACAGTTTAACCGTTCCTCTCGTCGATCTTTGGAAACATTTTTTGCAGGATTTTACAGCTCTGGCACTTCAATTTAGCAAACTTTTTATGCAGCTCATGAGAGGAATGCAGCCAACTCTGTACACTCAATTTAAATCAACTTGCTGATGATATAAAAAAGAGTGCTGACCCGCCGGTTTGCTTCATCTGCTCCAAAACTACCAACACAAACTCCGAGGTATTTATTCCTGAAACATTAATAGAACAGTCTGGGGCATCAGATCAGTAAATGAACTCTGCTTTGATCCCATGCTGGCCCAAAGAGCTGATTTAACAACTCGTTGTTTGGTTACTTGATATTTCAGAAATGCAGCTGGGCTGTTTGCTACTGACGGGCTTTTGCCCGTTGCAGTACGGCGGGAGCAGAGGGTGCAGACAGCTGGGCAGGCGGCCGTGCGGTGGCTGGGTAATCATCTGCCACGGTTGTCTGTAGCAAGAGATCATACAAGCAATGTTTAATAGCTTTCTGATTTTGCATCGTGAAGGAGAGATGGATCTTTCTGTGGCTTACACCCAGGCCTCAATTTGTATAAATTATGATAGCTTAGTTGAAGTTAAGAGAACTACAAAACTCGTACTCACCGAGACTCCAGTGCCAGGCCAGCCTGTGTCCTCTGGATTCACATGGGCAGCAGGGACCTTTGCGTACACGATGCAGTAATGAAGCACTACGTATTGTAAACTCCATCTGCGAGCTGGCTCTCCTTTGCAGAAATAACCAGATCAATTTAATTTTGATGACTGCTACCAGAGTTCTGATCAAGAGTATGGTCTGTCGTCTACCGACAAAACAAATGCAGCACAGACGTAGCTGTCCATTGAATACCTCTCTGCCCTGCCACACCAAGGTGCTTCTAAGCTTAATTTCCCAGATTTTCGATTACGATTTTCAAAAGTTACTGACTTGTGCTGAATTGAGTGAGCCTTACAGATGAAAGTGCCTTTAAGTTGTGCTTGGGTGGGGACTTTGAGCGAAGAGACAGGATGCATTAAGCAGCATCAAGGGGGACACATACGGTTTTACCCTTTTCTTCACTGTAAGTTAAAGACATTTTCTGAGGTTTAACTTACACTGGCAATTTTAAGGAAGTAAATTGCACGTTCACAAGAGAAAATACAAAAGAACTTGCACAAGTGAGTAAATGCGTCTTTTTCCCGCTTCACTCCTTTATAGGTCCTTTCTATCAAAGCAAATGCACTTACCTGACAGCACGGCTTCAGAGCAGAATACTGAGTGCGTGCAAATTAAACCAGATTGACTTGGCACTCATTTAGAACAGAATGTTGCAATGTAAATGTTTATCTAACAAATTCATCACCAAACTTTAGCAAAAGATAAATAAATGGGTGAAACAGACTGAGCAGAAAGCATACATCTTTAATTTCTATAAGGAGTAAGAGTAAACATCAAAAATCTTCACATTTGCATTCTTTGAGAAAACTGGAAGCTTTCTCTAGAGATTGTGTCCTTGCAAAGCACTATAAACAAACCCTGCTTATTAAAATCTTTATATTAAAAAGTGCTGCAAAAAAACACCTTGTTTCCAAAGAGTCTTCCTGGTTGCAAACCACTGCCCTTCACACCTAGAGCTGGTTGCAGTGGAAGTGAACCAATCAGCATGGGAAGAGGGGAAGTTCGACGACCTTTAAGGCAAACGATCTCAGTTTAAATCACAGGAATAGAAATCCTACAGGACATGTAGAATAGTCTCCACTGTCAGAGTTGCTCAACCTCCTAGGCAGTTTAGGTATCATCATTAAAATGTAAATAACAAAACTGTAGTAAGTCTTAAAGTCTAGGCATACAAATAGAAATAATACACAGAGGTCACATTCTTCATTTTCCAGTAATTGATCCAATATTTTTTTCTCCAGTTTTTTCTAATTTCTTTTAAAAGCAAAATCATCCACTTAAAATTACATAGCAAATGATACACTTTTAAGTACAGTTCTGTCCACTGATGTGCCGTTAGTGGAAAGATAAACCAGATGGCAAACTCAATAAAAAGGAGCCGGTTAAATCAAGACAGATGAGTGTCTAAAAAACCCCTTCGGTCCATTATTGCTTTTGAATTGGTTGTCACGGCATTAGAAACTGATACCACTGTCAGCCTCACATCTCCACCCCATCCATTTCTTCATAGCCTCTGTCTGAAGCAAAGACCTCACACCGCTGTAGAAAAACACCCTCTTCCTTACAGCACTAGGCCATTTCCACCAAAACTGTCCACACCAAACTGAGGGTGGTGTGTGCGCATGGAATTTACACCTTTTGTAAAATCAAGTGCACCAAACAGGAAAAGACTGATCTTCAGTCTCAAATTCCAGTTTCAGAATACAGAAGTTCAGGTAATTTTAATTCTGTACTACTCCGGTAGCTTACAATTCATCGTCATGAGCCAAAGGACTATCCACTTAGCACGTATCTTCTCTTTAAACAACTGGAACTACCATGGAACATAAGTTGATATTTGTTAAGGTTTACGTATCAAAGAAGTAAGTTTCTCTTCCCCTTGACAACGTCCATTAGCGAAGAACACTATCTGCTGAAACAACGGAAAAGAATAAGGGATGCAACTTCAACATAACCCTGGAAAAGCTGAGCTTTTGAGAATCTATTAAGCGAAAACTGGTAAAATCCACTAAAATAAAAACCTTAGAATGTCACATTGTAGTTGCATTACATTTCTCTTTTTAATAGAGCATATAAAATGAAAGTTTACAATGAGGTTAGTAAACTGTCAATCAGCACTTTTATTCAGTCTAGTTTCTGAGCTATTAATCCCCAATACAGAAACAGAACGCTGATGCATTGGTCTAGGACCTCTCGAGATAATAGTTCCAATGCATTCTGATGACATGAAAGTGAATTTCATCGAATCACCTGAGCTCCTTCTAGATACATCATATCGCACAATAATTCCACATTCACATTGCTTATAGTCTTAACTCTCAAGGAAAAAAAAAAAATTACCTTCTGACTTCAGTGAGCTGCAGTGATGGAAAACAAGTGAAAGTTTGCTCAAATAATTGTAGGCAAGTACTTAATCAGGCTATGTGCTTTGTCAGTGGTATTTTAGGTAAAGCAACCCATTATTGTGGTGCATCAGAACAGCAACCCTCTCCATCGCTCCTTTGTGAAGCACTGAGTCAGACTTTTTTTGCATCATTAGCACTGACAACACAATAAACGCAGCACTCTGATCTTCAGCAGAACAGTAAATACACAGACCACAACAGTTAATTAATTTTAAAGAATTTTAATACAAACTTAATATAAACTATTTCAGTCCCTCTTAACATGTAAGACACTGACTCAAAATACTTTTATACCTTTTTTCAAGTATTGCACAATGTAGGTACAAAATTAATATTTACGATTACATTTTCTTCCATAATATATAGCAAAAATCTTTAAACTTTTAACAGAAAATACAATTTGTGTTTCTTTTGAAAAAAGCAAATATTCCGTACATTTTAATTCCACCACTAAGGAATATTCTGTACACAACTTTTTATTTTTTTTAGAATTGATGTCTTTAAGATGGATATCTTACAATTTCAGTAAAAAAAATACAACATGAAGCTGCTGCAGCTGTCACAGATCACTGTAGTAAAAAGATATAAATGCAATACCATGTTGTAGAAACAATATATATACTCTGATATTTTACAAACTTTGTACTAAATTAAATTATACAATTAGAAAAAGACCAATAAACCCACCTATTAGTGCCGATTTTTAAAATGTATATATACATATATGTTGGTGTACATATATATACACACACGAAAAAAAAATCAGCCACGTCCTTGCTATATCTTAAATACTGTAAGAGGCCATATTTTGAGAGCATATTTTTGTAATGTACAGTCAGTATAAAATAATTTTGTGCTTGGTTGGCAAATGAAAAAATGATGCATGTTGTATTTATCTAACCAAGCCTGAACGTATTCATACTACAAGCCTTAAAAAAAATCTCAAGAGGTGGAAAAAAAGATACACCCTTGGGTACGTGCATTTTAACTTGTACAATAATATTTACTTGTATTTCGCTTTCGTTTTATTTTTAGTTAGCCATAACTGGCTGGAATTGCTGGTTAGAATACTGCATGTTGTTTAAACTAAAATTCAAGCCATCCACAAAAGACTTCTCATTTAGACCTCCATAGGCTGCAAACATATCAAAGGCATTACTGTACTGGAGAGGACTGAGGTTAAGGGGGCTGTCACCAGGAAAGATGCTACTGGTACTACCTTGACCCTGCATGTTGGGGAAAATGAACTCCTTTGCGTTAGGAGAAAGGGCAGAAGTCTTCTGCTGTTGTTGCTGCTGCTGCTGCTGACTGCCTAAGCCAAGCCCGTAGAGAGAGTGCATGGAGGAGGAAAGGGCTTTCTGCTTCAACAGGTCATTGACATTCAAGCCAAGGTTGGTGGGAGAAGTGCGGGCGACCTTGTTGCTACGGCCGCTATTCTTCATTTTGGTCGAGCCAAACTTGGTGGCAGCAAATGTGGCAGTGGTGAAGGTTAAAGGCTGAGTGGAGCGGGGCATGAAAGTTGGGCTCACAGCAGCAGAGTGACCAAAGGGAGGAGAAGGAGAACTAGACACTGAAGATGCTGGGTCACTAATTGGCATGAACACCTGGGCCTCTGGGTTAAAGCTGTTCTTGATTTCCTTATCCAACTCACATCCATTTTCATTATCATCCACATAAAGCACTTTCACTGGTCCCTTTTCACCGATTTGGTATGAAACCTCAAATGGGTCAATCCAAACACTAAGATCCTGAGGCAAGTTGCCACGAACATCATCAATGTCCAAACCACTCTCTTTGGATGCTTGTTCTATGACCGGGTCCACTTTCTCCCCTATATGTATACATCTAAACCCTGATCCTTTATATGGCTTTTCTGGATACCAGTGCCCTTCATACTTCTTCTTAAGAAGTCTTTCAAGCTCTTCACCAAAAATGTTGACACGTCGTCTGGGAAGCTTATTGTACAAATATGAAATAATAAAATTGAGTGCTACTTGGATTTCAAGCTGCATAGCTGCTATGCCACAAAGTTATAAGTCTGTTTCAAAACCCGAAGAAGAAAGTGTTCAAGACGCCACAGGGAAACAAAATTTCATTCAAAGTGCTGATTCTAGTTGATTATTATCCTTCACCTTGAGTGCTCTTGTTCCTTTAAGAAAAAACAAAAGCAAACACATCCAAATAAGGAAAGCGCAAGATCAACCTCTGAGGCCTATCCTTTTAGCTTCACTTTCCGCATAGATTAGGTCACTTTTTAAGTCAAAATATGTGCATCAAACTATTTATGTTCATGCCCGCGGAAGGCGAGGACGTCAACTGCATTCAGTATGACTTAGTAACAATACTGCAGAAGATGCACTAGGCATGTGTTTACATATACAGCATTGGGCATTTCAAAATCACATGAGCTTGCCATTTAGTTATTCACAAAGCAGCAAGAGTAATTTTTAAGACATCACAGAACTGCCAGGCCTGTCAAGGGTTCAATTACCAACCCGTATTTGGATGATTTATAGTACTCAGCTGCAAAATTTAGCACCAGACTATTAGTTTAGCCTCAAAGGTCTTAGTCCAAGCGTCATTTACCATTTTAAAGTTTGCAAACATATTGGTTGCACTGTAAGCTGCAGAATTATAAAAATGTTGTTAACAGTTGCTTTAGAAGATTTCACAGAAATAACAACAATTATGCAACATTTATTTTAAGTCCAAGCAAATCATCCGCATAAACTGTGCGCTGGTGAAACTGTGCTAACTGAAGAGAAAATGTCCGCTGTACATATACAACAATTCTTCCTCAGAATAGCTAAAATGATAATGCAGTCAATGCATACAAAATAGATGCACGTATCTGCTGTCATAAGGGTGGCAATGACCGTGAAATTATTACAACAAATTAATTCACATATTTTTCCCTTTCTACAGATTATTCTGTATTATCAGATGTAATATATTAATATACACTAAATTTGTATCTTGTACTGTCTATAGTTCAGATTTCAAGAAGTTACTAGAGCTAACAGGGCTTTTGATAGCCTCAAAAATGACTGCTTGCTTTTCTCCTTCTCCATGACTCCATTTTATATTTAATATAAAATATGGTTGCCACTCCTTCACAAAGGACAAAAGAGAAATTAGCCATTTAAAGTTAAAAGAAGGGATCAAAACCAAGTATTAGCACACGTACTGCTAACGAAAACCCTGCAGTACCTTGGCATGAAGGTACTCATCCACAGGAGACACCTTTGTTCAAAAAGTTCCAGTGAAACAAAATATTTATTTTTTGGCTCAAGTTAAACGCCCAACGAGAATTTCAATTAACAGTGTGCTTTTCTGCACTGCATCACTAGGAACGAAATTCAGTGCAGCTGTCACTAAAGATTAGAGAAATCAAAGTCAACATCAAAATCTTTTAACAATGTGAATACAATGCTTTTTTATTTCTTGCTCCAAATAATCTCCTTTTAAAGTCTGGAACCCTATTTCCAAGCCACTCGTGTTCTCCCCAACATGGTATGGGAATAGTTTGAAAGCTTGTACGATAAGGCGACCTTTAAACGTTTGCTGGATCAGCACTGGGTGGGGATAAGGAAAAGATCAAGGGCAAACAGAAGATATTTACAAAAGGGACACAATCAGTACAGAAAAGCTGATTGGGTGGTTAAAAGGAGCATTTAAAAATGATTTATTAATCCATCTGTTTTGTTTCCTTTCCCCCGTGTCCTTTAGGAAAGAAATGATCCTTTCAAGGCACATCGAGTAGACGCTATAAATTTTTCGAAGCCCCAAAACTGATCCATGGTACAAGCAGCTGATCAAACAAATTAGCTTGATCATATTTAACACTTTTTTTTTTTAAATTTAAAGAGGCCAATATTTCTGAGGGATCCAAGCCCACTGACTGCTCCAGCAGCAGAGCCCCAGGGCCGGGGGCTGCGGCAGG